ATAGAACCTCTGAGTGGGGGACACCTTAAACATTAGGCTATGTGGCTTTTCATTTATCAGGCTAATGAGGGCTCCATTTATCAGGCTAATGAGGGTTTCTGAACTCTCACCCTTTGAGTCTGGGTACAGTGAACCCTGGTCCTTGGTTCTGGGGAGGGATGTGATCAGACATTGGAGGGGTGGCAGAAGGTGGCATCTTCTGCCACCCCTCCAAGGTCTGGGCACACCCCCAGAGGCTGGCTCCCCTGCTTGGTTGTCTGGGCTTTGGGGGTAAGTCAGGCTGAGTCAGCACACCTGGCTTCAGGCAAGGGCAGGCCAAGGATGCTCAGGGCCTGGGCTTGCCTTGGAGGCTGCCTCCTCTCCCTGCATACGTGGGCTGGCGTGTTTGGTGCCAAGGAGAGCAAAGAGCCTGGGATGGCAGAGGAAGAGGGTGACAGGCTCCATGGTGGGGCAGAAAGTGTCCCGTCTTAGAACTAGACAGACCTGGGATTTAGTCCTGACCTGGAGCTTCTCAGCTGGGAGACCTTGGGCAAATGACTTCCCTTCTCTGAGCCAGTTTCGTGTGTGTGTGTGTGTGTGTGTGTGTGTGTGTGTGTGTGTTTTACGGGGAGTTAGGGAGGAGATTATTTCTGAGTATTAAATGAGAGGTCACACTAAGTGCCTAGCACATAGAGGAGGTCTGTAAATGTTTGGTGGAGCCAACCTACCTAGCCCAGGAGAAGCTGCCAGGACAGAGCCCCAGGCAGTGTGGGCCTTTGCTTCTCCAGAGCAACGCCATATCAGGCATCCCTGGAACAGTCCCCCTTCTCCCCCCCATGACAGTCCCTGAGGAGCTCCATAAGGGAAGAGGTGGAGGAGGGGCAGGCTTTCATCCCAGGAACATTCCATTCCAGCTGCTCAGACCATTGGGGATCCCAGCCAAGGACAGAGGCCCGAGGGAGCTCACCCCAGGAGCCCCCACCCCTTCCAGGGTAGGAGCGAGTGGAGCCTGATTCCAAAATATTGCCCCTGCACCTTCTGTCCACAGTGGCCCCTCTAAAGGAAGTAGATGTCAAAGGGTTTGGGTGGGGCTGGGTGGCTATGGGAGAGAGACAGTTAAAGCTCTTGAAATTATTCTTTCCAGCTCCTCCCAGCTCCTCAGAGCCTCGACTCGATCTGACTCCTGGATTCTGCGCCTTCCCTGGGCACCTCCTTCAGGAAGACTCCTCTCATTGACCCTACACAAGCATGGCACCCTCCTCACTTCACAGGAGCCCTTCACTTCACAGTGGCAAGGGGCTGGATTCTGGGGAAGTTGCCGATACTATGAACTTCTCTGTATATGCTGCATTTGACTTTGGCTTACACTGTACAACTGAAGACGTTACGACAAGTCCTTGAGACGCAGTCAGATTGTTTAAGAGTGCAGCAAAGCTTTCCAATGTGAAAGTGAAAAGGATCTCTTTTAGAAATGTCATCATTCTTTAACAAGTCACAGTGCAGCTGGGGTCCCCATTTTGGTAGATGCTGTTGCTTCTCAGTCTAACAGCACCAGGAGGCCTGTTTGAGGGGAAACATTGCTCTAAGCAATCCCTCAGTACCCCTCATTCACCGTCCTTGCCCTCTCCAGGTGGGCACGTGCCTGTGGCCCCTCAGAAAGGTAATGGGCTGCTGGCTCCCGGGGGACACACCTGTTTCTCAGGAAGAGGGGTTGGCAACATAATTCTAAGTTTTAAATGAAAAAAGGGAGCACATTTATTCAAATATCCTGATGGTAGAGGGAAGGGGGCCACACTGACTCACACAGAACCCAGAACTTGTAGAGTTCCGCAAAATGAACGCATATAGGGTCAGTTCCTTGATGTATACATTCAGGAAGAATAAATCTCAGTGATGTGAGACAAGCATGCGTGGTTTTGAGGTTTACTCTGTGAGTGGCGTTGCCGCCTTTCCTCTTTGTGTGTCTGTCACGGCTCTTTAAGCTGGCAGTTCCGTGAGCAGCTTCTGTTTGGTTTCGTTTGGCAATCTGGGCCTGCTTACTGATTTGTAGGCTGACTTCTCCCTTGACCTGGCTCAAAGTTGACCCTCTTTATGGAGTCTTCCCCAAATAAGGATGTGTTGAGGAAACTACACACAAAGGGATGCGAGAGTGCGTTTGCGATAACGTGGCAGCATGGTGATCCGTGGAGGATTGTGTGTGACGGCAGCATGGTGATCCGTGGAGGATTGTGTGTGACCGTGCTGGTGAATGGATGGACCTGTCTGTCACTCAGGCTCCCAGCAGGAGACACAGCACCCTCAAACTGGGCAGAGACTTAAAAAGGGACTATTTCCAAAGATGGGGGCTGGGCTTAAGAAACTAACAAGGTATATGCAGCTCTCCAGGGCTAGCAACAGGGAGAAGCCATTACAACTCCTGGGCCTGAAGGGGTAAGAGAGGCGAGGGGAGGGGAGGGGAGGGCACATGGACCCGGAGAGTGCAGCTGTGTGGAGAGGGCCCCTGACGGGAGCAGTGGTCTCTGGTTGAGAGATGTAGGCAACCACAGTGACCTGATGGGAAGGGAGCAGGGGGAATAAACACCTTATTCTCCTCCTCCCTCCAGTATCTCTTGCTGGGGACTCTCATTGGCTGAACCCAACAGAGAGGCAGGGAACAAGGGGGCCATTGATGCACAGTCCGTAGAGGTCAGCCTCCCAAGGGCACAGAGCCTGAAGAAGGGTGGAGGGTGGGACTGGAAGGGCTGACATATGCAACTGTCTGAGGGCATTATCTTCCATTCCCTAACGTTCACTGCAAGGCTTTTTCCCCCTCTGGAGCTCCCCCCACCCACCATGGGTCACAGCGGGAGAGTGGACTGTTGCTTGGAGAGCACTGTGGGGTTGGGTATTTACTCCCTCAGCCTTCCCCTCTCTGGCTCTGATTCCCAGTTCTTGATTCCTTCCTGTCCTGGCATCTTAGATGGCTGCAGGAACTGTCCATGAGAGAACAATGCCAACCACTGAGTCAGTGTTTTTTTCACACCCGGAAACACTACACCTCTCCCAAACACACCCCCGGGCACACCTGCTGCCACATGGGCCCCTGACATAGTCACCACAAGCCATGGCCGGTGTCACAGTTGCATTAAGAAAATGTACAAACTTGGCAAACAGTAATGCAAACTCGTTTTCTGTCACATGTATGTACAGGAGACATACTGTCACGCTCATCCATGTGAAATCAGAGTGTAGGACGGTGCAGGGGTTAACAGCAGTGGCCCTGGGGGCAGACAAGCCTCTCTGACCTCTCTGGCATGTTCCCTTGTCTGTAAAATGGAAATTCTTGCTCTTCTCTCCTGGAGGTGTTGGGAGAGTGCACTGAGAGGGTGTGGTTGGGGAGAACTTAGCAAAGTGATTGTTGTTAGTGGGAAACTCCTGTCTCCCAGGCCTCATGGGGAACGCACGCGCCTGCACGAGGTCAGCAGGACACCATCAGGCGTGTGTGCCCTTCCCCAGACACACCTGCCGGGAGCATCTGTACATTGACAAGTCCCCTCCGCCCAGAATGCTCTTTCCCCAGACATCCGCATGGCTTGCTTCACACTGTCTTTAAGTCTTTGTCCAATCAAATGTCACCCTTTAAAGGAGGTTCACCCTTTTTAAAATTGCAGACCCAGCACTTCCAATCCCTTACCTTGCTATGTATATTTTTAGCCATTGCTGACCTTCTAAGACTATATAATTTAGTTTATTTTCTTTCTACCCCATTAGAATGTAAGCCTCACAAGGGTAGGGATCTTGGTCCTTTGTTTGCTGATGTGTTCCCACCCCTGGAGGGGTGGCTGGCACACGTGGGCTGAATCCAGTGCACACATGCGTGTGCCATGGCTTTCTGGCTCTCTCCCCTCTGAAACGAGCACGTCCAGGTGAACCCCACTCCCCACCCCAACAAGCTAAGCCTGTGTGCTTACATTGGGAGCATTCCCCTCATGCCCAAAGCAGGAGCTGGGACCAATTTAGTCCCCCCATCCCAGGACCCTAGTTGGGTAGGCACGGCCAGCGTGGGGTGGGAGGCTGCTTTCAGTCACCAAGCAAAGAAAGACTTTCCACTCATCCTTCCAGCCATTCTGAGCCCAGCAGGGACCCAGTGAGCAGGTGAGATGGCTGGACTCACCCAGCTGACCAGGGGCCTCCTCTGCGGCCTTGTTTTTTCCACCCTGGCTGGAACCATCAAAGCCAGCACTTCAGAGGACACTAATGAGGCTGAATATGTTAAGGACTTTGCAACCCTTGGATCAAAGAGGCTGGGTAAACGGTGGGCAGCATCCAGGCCTGTGAGTGGCTGATGCCCTGAGGCATCAGCCTGCTTGAGAGCTTATGGCTGGTAGCTGGCACTCACTCCCAGACAGGCCCCAGATGCGTTTGGAAAGGAGAGTCCCTGCCCCTCCAGGGGATCTGCTTAGGGCAAGCCAGAGTATGTCCATCAGCAGTAGGGGGTGAGAGAGGAAGCTGGAGGATTGAGGGGGCCTTTCCCAGCAAGGAGGCCAAGCCTCGGCTCTGGCTCTGAGGGTCCTAGAAGCCCCCCAGTCCCAGCTGCCACCACTAGGGGGTGGGTCTCCAGTCCAGACTCACCCTGCTTGTTCTCCACCTGCTTCCTGGGAAGGGTTAGGGAAGGATGAGCAGGGCTGGGGTCAAGCAGCCCTGAGCACTGGAGTGTGAGGCCAGGTCCAGGGTCATTAGGACTCCAGGTAGGAAACATTGAAATATTTGCTCTTTAGCAAGAGACTTGCTGAGGTGATGTCCAGGGGCAAGTCACACCTGTGTGGACAGGGGCTCCTAGGACAGTTGCCAAGCTGGGCTGGTGCTGGGGGAAGGAGGAGCATTCCCCAGCTACAGCCCAGGACTCAGACCCTGCCCTCCAAATGTCTCCTCCCACCAAATGTCCCCTCCTATAATACAAGCCAGACTCAGGCTGGGGGAAGCAGCCACAGATCCCACAGACTGTGGAAGGTCCTTCTCCCAGGAGAAAGCATGGTACTAGGTTCAGTGTAGACAATCTTTATTGGCAGGTGTTAAGAGTGCTAAATAGTAGCAAATACAGAGGGATGGGAAGGGAAGTGGGGTGTGGCTCTCCTCCCCCATGTAAGGACCCTGTAACCAGGCCAGTGGGGTGGGAGCACTTGACTGTGGCTACTTTGGACCCAGCACCCTCTGGAGAACAAGCTCCCAGGCAGGAGGGCTCCTCAGGACATGGGGGAAGGGAGCTGTACCCCGGCAGGGGCATGGGCTGTGTCCCACCCCAGGCTGCTTAGTTCCTGTCCACCTCACACCTCAACCGACAGCTTGGGGTAGGCGTGTTAGGGGACTGAGCTAAACCTATCCCTTTCCAAACCTATCTGCCTCATGCCTCAGTTTCCCTCCTCCTAGTTAGTGGCCCAGCCCAACCCAAAGTGAGTAGTTCCCATAACATACCATATTTTAGCCACTGTGTGGGCTGCAGGCCCTCGGAGGCTGCTGGTTCCACTGTGGGCTGGCCCTACCCAAAAAAGACCCCTTCTAGGCCACAGAAATCAACCTGAGATGACAGGCATTGAAGCGACCATCCCAAACATTCTTTGTCTCCTGAAGGCAATTGACTCCCAAGACGAATTTCCCCTGCACCCCACAATCATGCTGGTCCAAAAGTGTAGTGCAAATAACCAAAAGGTCCATTTACCAAGAATCTAAGCTTGGGCTTCAGCCCACAGGGGCTTCACTCGGGGGAGGAGTCTGGTCTGTTCAGTTTAAGGCCCAACCCTGCAGCAGTGCTGGGCTACCTGGCACAGGCTGCCTGTCTCTGGTCATGTTCTCCATGCACTTCTGGAGGCCCCACTCCATCTGCAGAGGCCTAGTCCTTTCTGGCCAGGGTCTGAGTCAGTTACAAGGCAGCCAGGTGGGATAGGAGGCGTGGGCCCGGGACAGCAGAGGCTGCACGGGGGTCACATAGTAATTGACAGTGGTGGGCACGACCCCATCAGGGACTGGGGAGCGCCAGGCCAGGGAGGCCACGGCCGCCGGGCCCTGCTCGGCCAGCGCCTGGAGCGCCAGCGTGGCGATGAGGGCCAGTGTCTGGCGGCGCTCGTGGCTCATGAGGCACACTGTGCTCTCGTTGACCACCCGGTGCAGCGTCACCAGGCAGGCGTAGCGGCGCGCCGAGTCGGCCCCACTGAAGTGGGCCTCGAGGTAGCGCTCCAGCATGCGCTGCTGCTCAGCCAGGTCCGGGAAGTCGATGAAGAAGCGGGAGCACATGTAGCGCTGCAGGGCGCTCACGTCGGTGCTGGGCCGCGGCCGTAAGCCCCGCACCAGCAAGTGGCAGTACTTGAGGAGGCCGCCCCCTCGGATCTCTTCGGGACTGCGTGTGGCGATGACGCGGTGCCGCAGGTGGTCCAGGGCCTCTGCGAAGTCCCCGTACAGGCTCTCGCCTGTCACCGTGGGGTGGAAGGCCTCGGACATGGGCGTGGAGGAGCACTGGCTGAAGAGCAGCAGGGAGTCCAGGAGGATCTGGAAGGAGTCTATGCTAAACTCGAATTGGCGCCTGACCGAATCCACGAACTTGAGCTCCACGTTCTTACCGCTCTTGTTGGACAACGAGATGAGGCTCCAGCGGTCCGTGTCTGTGCACACTTTCACCAGCTTCTGCACATAAGCCTCCTTGAGTGTCAGGGGTGTGATCTTGGCCCGGCTCACGCCAGCCGGCAGGAAGTCCAGCAGGCAGGCCAGCACCACCTCTTTGGTCAGCTGGAAAGACGCCTCGCTGCGCAGGTCCACGCGGAACACCAGGTCCAGGTCCTTGTAGCCCAGGCCACTCTCGGGGTGCAGCACGTGGCTGGCGGCCGAGCCGTGCAGCCGCACACCGTGCACGCGCAGTCCCTGCTCCTCCAGGCTGCTGCGGACAACCTGCAGAGGGGGTGGCAGGAGGGCGAGGTATCAGCGACCTGGGCCCCTGGGGTCCGCTGTGGGCTTCCACGTAATAATCACAGCGACATCAACCACTGTTGACCACTTATCAGCTGTTGTGCCTTTGGAAAATCATTTAATTCTCTAAGCCTAAGCCTCTATTTCCTAATCTAGAGAGTGGCCCATTTGGAGGAATGACTCAGCAATAATGATAACACAGCCGTGCACAGAATTTACTAAATGCCAGGTCCTGATCCTTTATACATTAGGTCCTTTATACATTAGGATATAAACTCACGTAAATCTTACAGTGCCTCTATGAGGTGGGTATTATTACTCCCACTCTACAGATGGGGAAATGGAAGCACAGAGGGGCCAAGTAACTTGCCCAAAGTCACACAGCTGGTGAATGCAGAGCTGGGAATTAAACTCAGAGTTCATGTCTTAACCAGTATGCAATTCCAACTCTCTAAAACTTCCAACTCTCTAAAACAAAACACTTCGTTTTGTGCCAGACATGATGCAAACTGCTCAAATGTGTTGGGAATGTAACTGGCCGTTCACATGCAATACTACATTAATGCTCACAATAATCCTGTTTGAGTATTATTACTCCAATTTACAGATGGGGGACCTGAGGCACAGAGGGGTCATGTCCAAAGTCAGAGAGTAGTCGGGCTGAGACTAGGACCCAGGACAGGTGGATTCTCAAGTCCATGCGTGCTCTTTTGACTATGACACATCCATCTGTCTTTACAAGGACACAGTGAGGTCAATATTAGACTAATTTTACAGATGAGGAAACTGAGGCTTATAGTGGTAAAACACTTAAGGCTCAGAGAGGAAGCCGTTCAGAAATGGCAGGGCTGGACGTTGAAACCCAAACTCTTTCTGCTCTTGGGTGAGGGGATGGGTCAAAATCCCTGGACCCGGACATTCAGCGCTCTCAGCATCCCAGAGTACTTCACACACCGAAAGTGGCCAGGCAGCATTCTTACCCTGAGTGATTCTGCAACCCCGCCTCGATGCCAAGTCAGCTCCAGACCCGGCTGCTCTTCAGGCCTCCCAGGGAATTACTACAAAGAATGCACGTAAGTGCTGAGGAGGCAAGCTGCAGTGGGGCAATCTGAGGCGGGCGGCTCCCTCCAGAAAGCTTCCAGGAGGAGGACCCTGACTAGGGAAAGGTATTATCATGGCTATGGGGGTGGAAACATCTGGCCATCAGGGACCTGCGGGGCCAGGCAGCTGGGGCAGGGGAAGAGGAATATTGGCTCGACACCTATTGGGTGCCAGGCATTGGACCTTCTTACCAGAATCTATGGGGAATAGATCTTTAAAATCTCCAAGTTATAGATGGGGAAACTGAGGAGTGAAGTTACCTGCCCAAGATCACCCAGAGGTGATCCAGGTATGGCTGACTCCAAAGTCTATCTTCTTTCTACCACATTACCAACCCAAGGTTTGGAAGGAGCAGAGGCCAGAAAGTAGGGTTCTAATCCTCTCTCCCTTTCAAAATTTCAAAGTGAGGGCAACCCTCCAATCACTGAAGCCCAGGGCCAGAGTAGCTAGGGAGCAGGAGGGTGGGGGTTGGGGGAGCCTGGCCAGGCAGATGGGGGAGGCTGGAAGTAAGGGGCCAGTTGTTGCAGTCCAGCCTGTGGGACTTCTAACCCACACTCTGGCAGCTGGCAGCTGTGCCCATGTAGGCCAAGGGGAGAACTGGGCCAAAGACTTTGTCCTAAGGACACTGGCAGACCTGCAAAGTAGACCAGCCCCCTCTCCAAGTCCCATTAGAGCTGACTGGGCCTTACTCAGTGCCAGCTCCTGCCCCCAGGCTGATGCGCACCCTAGGGCATGGCATCTGGCCTGGTGAGTAGGTAGGAGTACCCTTGTTAAATCGCCTGTGTCAGGCCATGGGGCCGGCCGTGTCAGCCAGCCAGCCAGTGGCTGTTGTCTTTTTCCCAGGTGTGACTACAGCCAGCTTGGCAGGCAGTCCCCAGATAGATACCACCACACCCAAGGACTGCAGGGCAGCTTGGAGCCTCCTGAATCAGACTTTCCAGCCATGGAGGGGGCAGTGGCTGCACCTTCCTTTCTTCTGTACCAAGGCCCTCCCCCAAACCACTCTGCTCCCGGGCTGCTGCTGAGGCCTGCAGGGAGACCATAGGTGCTGTCAGCCAGCAGGCTTACAAAACTTGAATCCAGAGCCACTCTCTAGCTGCAGCTGGAGAGATCAGAGTCTAATTCAATCCTCTGGACCCAGAGAGGGCAAAGGACTTGTTTAGGGTCACACAGCCAATAAGTGGCTAAACTTAATTAAAACCAGTCCAGGAGCAGGGGGCCTCCTACAGGAGAGTGGGTCCCTCTAGCCCAGGGACAAGCAAGAATAGCATCTCTAACTGCCCAGATCACTGCTGTAGGAAAATCTTGTGGGGGTAGAGAGGGAGAAAGGTTCCAATTCTTGAACCATCGGACAACTCAGCACTAGTGAGAAGCCCAAAATCAACAACCAGCACCCCCACCACACACACACACACACACACACACACACACACACACACACACAACCAGTACCTCCACCCCCCCAGCCACACACACACACACACACACATATCCCAATAGTTTGTGAAGCTGCCAGCCGCGGGTTCCTGCCAGGAGATGGACTTTCTTCACACCAGGTGAAGGCACCTGTTTCCTTTGGATTCTGGAAGCAGAACGGGCGTTGGAGAGCAGTTCAACCCATCCTCATTGAACAAATAGGGACACTGGGCCCAGCAAAGGGAATTGACAACTGTCCAGGCCCTGAAGCCAGATGTCCAACCTCCCAGTCCAACTCTGAAGTCGCCACTTCCCCCTCCCCACCACAGCCGGCTGCTCCCTGTTTTGTGATATTTCTGACCCTAGTCTAGGACAGTAGTACATTGTACTATTATCACATTGTAGAGTCAGCTCCTATTGACTGGCAGTCTCCCCCACCTGGCTGGAAGGCAGGGAGGCTGGGTCCCAGTCACATCTATGCCCCTAGTGTCCTGAACAGGGCCTGGCACAGAGCAGACACCAGTAAAGGCAGTTTGGACCATACGGACAGGGGCAGGGACTTCCCCTCCAGGGCAGTGCATGGTGCAGAGGTGAATTGCCACACTGGGCTCATGCCTGGGACAATAGTCCTAGAGTTACAGCATTTGGGGTCCCAAGGTTGACCTGACTGTCAAGGGGAGAAAAGCCTCAACTGGTTTCCTAATTACCCCATGACAGTGGGGCAGCCAAGAAATGCCTCAGTGAGCACCACCGATGAGTCAGCCCTGGGGAATCTGTCCCCACCCCCTCCCATTCCTTGGGAGGGAGGGCGAGGTAATCCCCCAGCAAGCACCACTCTGCCTCTGTGGAAGCTAAGGCAGAAGGAGTAGGGTGGTGGCCTGCTTCACCTGGCTTGTATGGCTCACTTCCCCAGAAAGAAAGTTCATCTGCTGGCAGGAATATGCAGGAATTGTGGCTAGATTTTCTGGCTCCTTCTATCTGCTAACACCTAGAAGTTGAGTCTTGGGAACTGGGGAAGAGGTGGGAAAACCTTGAACCTGCAGTAACCGACTCCTGGGAAGACCCAAGATTCTCTGGGTTTGATTTTCCCCTCTAGGTAATCTTAGGCAGCTCGCTGCCCCTCCTGGGGCCTCAGCTTCCCCAGCTATAAAATGCATACAATAATGACCATCTTCTGGTATTTCAGGGCATGACAGTGCCTGGGCTAACAGGTGAAAGAGCAATTTTAGGGTTGTTGAGAGTCAGGTAAAGGGAAGAGGGAGTCTGTGGAAGAGGAGAGAATTCTCTTCTGCTCCTCAGGAGAGACGTGGGGCTTGGGGCCAGAGACTCGGCCCTCATTTCCAATCTTGGGGAGGAAGAGAAACACCTAAATTGGACACCTGATGTTGCCCTCCAGCATGCAGGCATCAGGGCTGGACTGGCGCTTAATTTCCTCCTGCCACAACCCTACTTGAGAGGGAGTCCTTGCTGGAATTTCTCAGCTTTCCCACCTAGCGAGGGGGCTCTTGAGCCATGCGCTGTGGGAACACAGGACAGAGTCTGCTCCTAGAACCCTGAGAGAGGGAAGAGGTAGAGAGTGAGACCCGGGGATGACGATTTAGAGATGAAAAGAACTATTTTGGACTCAAGCATGTACATCTACCCACCCAGGGCTGCCAGGCATCTGTTGTCCCTGCAGGCGGGGTTGTTCTTCCTTCACGGCCAGGTCCCTCCCTATTTCCCACCCCTCTCCCAGCCAGGGCCTAGGTGAATGGTCCGAGCGGAATTGGGGCTCCTTAAGGGGCGGGGGACGGGAAAGTCAAGTGGGGAGAGAGTATGAGGTGCAGGGGGAGGAGGGTATGGACTACCATCAATGTCGTGCGATTTTGTTACAGCCCCTGTCCTTCTCTGAGCCTTGTTTTCTTAGCTTTCCAGCAAATCGAACAGACTCCGGGAGCCTCCCAGCCACGAGAGCCTCAGCCCCATATCCCCCGCCCAGAGCCTCTCACCTGCACGATCTGCCGGGGCTGCACGCTCAGCGTGGGGAAGTTGCCGCGCCCATGAATGGGAATCGGTTCGCTCAGGAGCGCATCCAGCCGCTTCACCTGCGGCCAACTCAGCCCACTCAGGTGCCGTCCGAGGGAGGCCGATGCAGCCTCCGGGTCGGGGCCGCCGCCTGCCGGGGCGGCCGTAGCCATCGCCGAGGCCGCAGCGGTCTCCACCTGTGCAGCCGCTCGGTCTGGGCTCTCCGCTCCGCTTTCCGAAGGCATCATTGGCCCGGCCCCGGGGCCCCGACGGCAGAAACCGGAGGGCGGTTAAGGGGAAGAGGGCAGGGAGAGTGGCTGGGCCGGGGCCAACGCGGAGGGCGCGGGGCCGGACGGCAGCGACAGCGAGGCAAACCCAGGGTACACCTCCGACGGCAAGGACCAACGGACTCTAAAGCTTGTGGCCTGGGGCCCAGCCGACTCTTATAGGCCGCGGGCGACACGCCCATTGGTCCCGGCTGCTGTCACACAGCGGGAACCGCCCCGCCTCTCGGCGCTCCTACCATTGGTCAGCAGAGCTTTGTACGTGAGCCACTGGTCGCCAGGAAGATTCCGATTGGCTGGAAGGCACGCCCCTGCCCCGCCCTCCTTCTCCGGCAGAATTCCCTCCTTTGGTCCTTAAAGAACTTCTCTTCTCCGTGATTGGCCCGGGCGGAAGGCAGCGCCTGGCTTTAAAGGGACTGCGCCCTCCAGGGGCAGACGTGAGGGAAGTGACCTGTGGAGTTTGAAGCGGAGTCGGACCACTAAGATCCTCCCCCACCCCACCCCCACCACCGCTGGAAGGAATTTCGAAATCACCCGGCCTGGTGCTGGTCGTACGCTATTTTCAGAAGGCCAGAGAGATTGTGCCACTTGTTCAACTCCACACAGTGCTCCTCCTGCTCTCCGTCTATCTTCCAGAGTTGAGAAAAGGTAACAAACTTGTATACCGTGGAAGATACTTTTTTTTTTTATGTGACTTTATTTGGAAATAGGGTCTTTAAAAAATTTTTTATTTATTTAATTTATTTTTTTTTGGCTGTGTAGGTCTTCGTTGCGGTGCGCGGGCTTCTCATTGCAGTGGCTTCAGTAGTTGTGACTCGCAGGCTCTAGAGCGCAGGCTCAGTAGTTGTGGCGCACGGGCTTAGTTGCCCCGCGACATGTGGGATCTTTCCAGACCAGGACTCGAACCCATGTCCCCTGCACTGGCAGGCGGATTCTTAACCACTGCGCCACCAGGGGAGCATAATACTTTTAAAATGTACTCTCTTGAGTACATCACTGCCTGGCCAGCGTTAATGTTTTGGTTTAGGGGTGAGGAAACCTGCTCAGAGAAGGGGCCTGACTCTCTCAAGGTCACAAAGCAGGTGAGACGGGGCCCTGGTGCTGAATCTGCGCTATAGAATCAGTGGGCGCATGCTCTTTCCACTACACTTGAGAGACCTAGGGCCTTCACGGGGCTGGAGGTTGGAGGGAAGCTGGAACTGGGGTGTTGGTCTGCTGGCAGGAGCTTCCTGGGTAGCTGGTGGAAGTCTTTCCTGGCAGCCTCTTACCTTTCTCAGGTCCTGTGTGACCTTGGGCAAGTCACTAAACCTCTCTAAGCCAGTTTCCTCATCTGCTCCAGAGAAGGGGCTCAATAATTTTTTTAAAAAATTTGACTTGATTATTTATAGTTGGCAAAACATTTTCATATGTTCTATTGAAATAATACGTTTCCGTGTTTTTCTCTCGCACTTTACAGAGCCTAGTGGGATGAGGCTTATTATTGTTGTTACTTTTAATCTTTTTTTCTTATTTTAAATATATGTGCTTGTGGCAAAATTTTAGAAATTGAGTCTGATTCATCTCTGCAATATTCTCTTTTAAATTAAACATCATTCTTCTAGCAATTAATTAAATATCATTCTCCTAACACCCCCATTCCATAAGGTAGGCTGGGCAAGGAGCAATGTGTCCAATGTACAGACAGAGAAACCAAAACCTAGAAATGGTAAACTACATTCCATGGTCACCAGGTTGTCTCAGACAGACCTAGGACTAGATCGCAGGAGCCTGACTCTCAGACTAGAGCAGCTGCTTCCTCTGTCTGGTGGCCAGCCCAAGCAAGATCCTGCCCTCGTCCCCTCCCTCCCTCCCTCCATCTTATCTGGGTTCAGGGACTTCCTCTGGCCTCCAGGGTGGGGACCTGCTATTTGCTCCACTGCTTGGCTTTGTGACTTCGGGCAAGTCTCTTGCACTGTCCTCAGCGCAGTTGCTTGCTATTTTGTTTTACCGTCTCTTGAAAGATAAGAAATAGATAAGAAATATACTTCAACCAAACCCAGAGTCTCCAAACCCTTGACCTATCACTTCCATGCCCCAGCAGAGGAAGGAAAAGAAAGGAAACTAACATTTACTGGATAACCTACTATGCACCAGATATTTTATATACGTGATCTCTAATTCCTAAAAATACATCTCAAGAAGTGGCATCATTATCCTCAACTTACAGATGAAGAACCTAAGGTTTAGAGAGGTCAAGTGACATGCCTAAGGTCATACAATTACTAATTGGCAGTGTGAGACTTGAACCCAGGTCTCCTGACTCCAGAGCCCTAATTCCCTCCTCTTCTTAAAAGACTTGGCACAGATCACAGAGTCATGCTTGGCATAACCCTGGATGAATGAACCCACAAGATCCATTCATCCATTCATGTATTCATTCATCAACCAACACAGATATACTAAGTACCTACTGTGTACCAGGGGCTGGGCTAGGCCCTGGGATATGATAGGCAAGGTCCCTGCCCTTCTCGAACTGACATTCAAGTGTAGTAAGACAATAGTCAAGTAAGTAAATAAATAAGACATTTTGAATAGTGCTAAAAACAAAATAAAACAGGGACTTCCCTGATGGTCCAGTGGGTAAGACTGTGCCCTCCCAATGCAGGGGGCCTGGGTTTGATCCCTGGTCGGGGAGCTAGATCCTGCATTCATGCCACAACTAAGAGTTCACATGCCACAACTAAAGATCCCGCATGCTGCAACTAAGACCTGGCACAGCCTAAATAAATAATAAGTAGATAATTTTTAAAAACAGGGAAATGGAAGAGAGAGCAGCCACAGGTGTATGTGAGTGTGAAAAATATATAGCAAGAGAGGGGAAGAGAACTAGAGAGATCAATGTACCTCATTAGATGGTGTAATCATGGAAGTCCTCCCTAAGGAGGTGACATTTCCATTGTGTCTGCTGGATCCACTTCTGCCCTATCTCCCCATGCTTGTCCCTGGACAGCCAGAGCAGCAGAGAAGGTGCCAAGCTACATATTCCTAGAACTCTGAAGGCTTTAGCTGAGAGGCCCTTTGGCAATCATTTTGTTTACTCTCTTGCCACTTTGTAGATGGGGAAACTGGGGTCCAGAAAGCAGAAGGGATTTACCCCAAGGAGACTGGCTAGGGCTGGAACTACACAGGGGCAGCGCCTTGTGGTGTGGGCTGGTGCTGTGCCCACCCCATACACTTGAATTAAGTTCTCTAAGGAAGGAAACTTAGAGATCTCTTTTCCTCTCCCCTTCCTTCTGCCTGGGCTAGGAAGAGCAATTAGTAAATTCATGCACTGTGAATCACCCTTCTGTTGACACTTCTATTTCCAAAGCTAATTGGTCCAATGTTTGACCAATCACAGGACCTGAACTTTAGTGTTGGGGGGTGTGTGACTTGGGGGTGTAGGAAGAGGAGAGAGAAGACAAGAGCAGGGGTAAACTCATCGGGTTTTTCATTTTCACCAAGACCAACTTTTAATTGTTCCAATGAATGGAGGGGATAATGACAGCTGAAGTACATCCTGAAGAGTCCAACTGGCTTTCAAATTTTATATATGAGCCTTTTCCCCCCTGTACAAATTTCCCGTCTTAATTCTGACTCCAACTGATTTTAAAAGGGAACTTACTCTGTATAATAATTGACTCATAGTGACACACTTTCCCTATCTGGGCCTCAGTTTCCTATTCTGTAAAATGGGAGAGAAATAGGAGTCAGGCTCTTCCATTCACACCTTCTATGATTTAAGGTGGTGGGAAGGGAGAAGAGGTCCTAGGAGAGCCTTGGTCCCTACATTGGCCCCTCAGCTCTGGGACCCAAGGCAGGAGCATCCTGGGATCAGCCCACATTACTGAGTGCATTGTTCCTAGACCCACACCAGGCAGTTTCCACACAGTTTCTCATTCAATTTTCAGAACATAATCTTTTGACATAGGAGTCATCTTTCACTTTGCACGAGAGAAAACTGAGGCTCAGAGAAACTAATTAATTTGAGCATGAGTTGGTGAGTGGCGCTTCATATCCAGGTCTGGCTGAATCCCAGGCCCATGCCCTACCCAGGGTCCTGCCCCTGAGGATGACTTGGTTTGTTCAATTACACACAGGTAATCCTCCCCTATGGAGAACACCCATTCCCTCCTCCCATGGTTCTTGTCCTCCACCCTGCCTCAGTCCCTCATGGCCAAGGTGATTTCCTAGACCTTGTCATTACCAACAATTATGCCCCTACCCTGAGTAATTTCAATATCAAGTATTCCATCCTCCTGACACCACCTCCTGTCTCTTCTGCTCACTCCCTCTAGAACCCTGACTCCATCAGTTCCGGATCTACCAGAACTTCAGTTCACTGATCTTCCCACCTTTTCCCCTACTGTTCCTCGCCTCCCTCATGTCCTGACTTTCCTCCTTAACCAGCTTAGATTCTGTGGACCATAATTATAATTACTTCCTTGCATACGCCCTCAACCCCCTTGCTCCTTTCTTGTTAGATTGCACTCACCTGGCAAAACCACACCCTGGTTAATCCAGCTCTGCACTTGCACCCACACAGTTGGCAGAAGCCGGAGGAAGACACACAGCCCTGCTGACTGGTCTCACTTTAAGGCCACGCCCACCCTCCTCCAGGGGACCCTTTGCACTGTCTCAAGATCCTACCATATGACCCAGTCCTGTCACTCTCCCATGGTCCTATAGACAATTTCTTACCTTCTCCTCTCTCCTCAATCCCTGAAAGCTCCTCCCCCAACCCTCCCTCCGCTCTTGACCTCGCTTCCTACCTCACTGAGAAGATAGAAGTGATCAAAAGAGAATTTCTGCAGACTCTCAACACCTCCTCTACCCAATCCCCGGGTCTGTGCCTCATTTTTACCCTCCCTCCTGCTACCTTGGATGAACCCCATTTGCTCCTCTCTGTGCTTCCCTTCCACTCATACACCAGATCTCCTGCCTCTCACCTGCTCAAGGACTTCACTTGGGCCATTTCCCCCTCTCTACTCGTTCATTCCAATCAGTGTTGAGACATAATTTTTTTGCATCTCAGAAAAAACCACAACAAAACCAAGAAACCTCTCTTGACCTCACATCTGCATCCCCTCTACCCCATTTCTCCATATAGATCTTCCTTGACTTAGGGTGGGGTTACATCCTGATAAACCCGTGGTAAGCTGAAAATATCCTAAATTGAAAATGCATTGAATACATGTAACCTACTGTTAACGAGGTTTAGCCTAGCCTACCTTAAACGCACTCAGTACACTAACATTAGCCTGAAGTTGGGCAAAATCACTTAATACAAAGCCTATTTTATAATTAAATGTTGATCATCTCATCTAATTTATTGAATACTGTATTGAAAGTGAAAGGCAGAATGGGTGTAAATGTGTCGGTTGTTTCCCCTTGATGTGATGTGGTCATGTGGTTCAATGGGAGCTGCAGCTCGCGGCCACTGCACAGCATCACGAGAGAGTATCAGACCCAATATCGCTAGCCCAGGAGAAGATTAAAATTCAAAAAAGTACGTTTTCTACTGAATGAGTATTGCCTGTGCACCATTGTAAAGTCGAAAAATTGTAAGTAGAGCCATTGTAAGTTGAACCACCGCAAGTTGGGCACCATCTGTATAGCAGAACTCTTTG